GCTAGAAAATCAAATGATGGAGTATCTATTAAACAGGCTATTCAAATATGTATAAACCACATTGATGGATTTATTAATAATGATGTATCTGATATAATAAGATTACTGTCAAGAACTGATACATTTAATGATGTTCTTATAAATAAAGAAAATATTTATTCGTATCTTCTTAAACAAATGATAGATGGTAAATTGTCATTTAAAAATTTAATTCCAAATAATGATTCTAAACTTAATCCAGTGAATGTTTTCTTCTTTAGCGATGCATTAAATCAAATTATCCATGAAACTCCTTTAAGTGTATGGTTAAAAAATAAAAATGAAATAGTTGATTGTTTTATGTATATCAAAGAATTCGAACAAGCAGCCTATTTTCAATACTTAATTGGAATTACTTGTATTGATAAACTTGTTGATCAAATTAAAGAAAATACTGAATTCCCTGAAAGAATGGATGAAATTTTATCAATTTCATTAGAATGTTTTGCTGGTTCACTGGCATTTTTCTCAACAACACTAAACAATGTTTGGGCAAATAAATGTACAAAACAAATATTATGTATTGTTCTTCAAATGGTTTATAATAACGTTCAAGTTATTGGATTAGACCCATTAGAATCAAAAGAATTACTTTGCTATTTTAATAACTTTGAAGACGCCAATATCTTTGCTCAAGTTTATGATTTAAATGAGAAATCAAAATGGGCAGCTGCACTAATGCAACAATGTGTGATAATGGGTAATTTAGATTATTTAAAAGAATGGACAGAATATTATGAAATGGATATTAGAACTTATGACTCGTTATTAGAATTTATGCAAACTGATAACCATCCATCAAATAAAGAAAGATGGGAAAAATTCTTTGAGACGATCAACGCAATGTTCCCGGAAATGACAAAAGAAACAAGACATGAAAAAACAATTGTTGACCTTATTAGACAAACACCATTAAAATTACATCTTTTTATTCAAGAGAATTAATTATAGTAAATTATAATTTTTTTTAATAAAATAATAAAAATAAAAAAAAAAGAACTCAAAAGAATTCTAACAAGAAAAAACCTTCAAAAAGAAAAAGAAGATAGAATGGAAGAAACTGCACGTATTAAATCATTTCTTAAAGTCATAGATGAACCTATTGTTAATATAAAAAAATTAATGAAATTAAGTTGGCATGGAATACCATTCAGTATTAGATATATTATATGGAAATATTTATTAAGATATATCCCTGTTGAAAATAAACGAGTTGAGTTAGTATTAAAGAAGAAAAGAAATGAATATGAGTCTCTACAGAAAATGTTATCTTTTGAAGCAACAGAAATCGAATTAAAAACAAAAAAACAAATTAAATTAGATTTAGTAAGAAGTACTACTGAAGTTCCATTTTTATTTCATGAGAAAGCACAAGAAATAATGGAAAGAGTATTATTTTTATGGGCATTAAGACATCCTGCAAGTGGATATGTTCAAGGAATTAATGATCTTATTGTTCCATTATTTGTAGTGTTATTACAAGAATATTCTCCTTTAAGAGAAAAAAATGTTTTTGATGATGTTTTAGAAGATGATTTAAAGAAAGTTGAAGCGGATTTATATTGGTGTTTATCTTTATTACTTGAACATGTTCAAGACCATTACACAAGTAACCAAAGTAAAATATTTGAACAGTTAGCTTCTATGAAACAATTAATTATTAAAATAGACCAACCATTAGCAAGTCACTTTGAAGAGAATAATGTTGAATGTTTTCAATTTGCATTTAGATGGTTCAATTGTTTTTTGTTAAGAGAAATGTCTTTAGAAAAAGGATTGCGTTTTTGGGACACTTATCTTTCAGATGAAGATGGTAATGGTTTCAGTCAATTCCATTTATATGTATGTGTTGCAATAATTGAAAAGTATTCTTCTAAATTAATGAATATGGAATTCGCTGAAATTATGCAATTTTTACAAAACCTTCCAAGTGAAGAATGGACTAAGTGCGATGTGGACGCTTTGTTATCTGAAGCATTTATCTTATATAAAAGGTTTTCATCTCCAGACACTCATTTACAACTTTCTCATTAATTCATATTATTTTTTTTTAATTTTAATTTTATAAAAAATTAGCATTCAAATAACAATTTTCTTCTTTTTTATGTTATTTTATCTCTTTAATCATTCAATGTTCTTCTTTTTTTGGGTTGTTTCTTTTTCATATTATAATCTTTTCTCTCTTTTATATCACTATTATTGTCTTTGTTTTTCTCAACTCCTTTAAGAGAACTTCTTTAAGAGAGTTTGTAAAGAAACTTCTTTTTATAACAAATTTAAATACAAACTTATAATATGCTTAAAATATAAAAAACTATCTATTAAAACCTAAAAATAGAACAATCTAATAATAAAACACTGATTTGATAGAAAAGTCTTGAATGGAGGAAATAGAAAAACTATATTTTAATAATAAAAAAACTATAAAAATAAAAAGAAAGAAAAAATTGAAACAAGAAAACTCTACAAGAAGAACTGAATAAGAAACTAACTCTAAATATTTTATAGTTATAAAAGAATCAATGGCGAATGTCCTTAGAGAAGCTGTTTCTAAAGCCAAAAGAAGATACCAACAATTTGGATTTGATTTAGATCTTTCATATATTACACCACGAATTATTGCTATGGGATTTCCAAGTGAGAAATTTGAAGCTGCATATAGAAATCCGTTAGTTGATGTGTTACAATTTTTTGAAACATTCCATAAAGGACATTATAAAGTGTACAATTTCTGTAGAGAAAAACCGTATGATGGAGAACATAAAATTAAAGGAGAATATGAATATTTTCCATTTGATGATCATAATGCACCAGAATATCAAATTATTCCACAACTTTGTAAAGATGTAGATGATTATTTAAAAGCGGATGAAAGAAATGTTATTGCACTTCATTGTAAAGCAGGAAAAGGAAGGACAGGATTAATGAGTGCATGTTTTTTGGTTTATATGCTTGATTCATTAAATGCACATGAAGCGATTGATTTTTATGGAACAACAAGAACATTTAATAAAAAAGGAGTTACGATTCCATCACAACTTAAATATATTAATTATTGGAGTGCGGCATTAAAATATAGATTTAATATTGGAGAAAGAACAGTTAAAATGGTTAAAATTGAAATGACACCAACACCAAGAATTGGAGAAGAAATTTTTGTAAAAGTATCAACATTTAATGAATTTGTATGTGAAAAATCACTTACAAATAATAGAAAATTAACATTTAAACCAGCTAAAGATTCAAAAAATAAAATGAAAGAAGAAGAAGCATTAAAATTATATGAAGAAATATATGGAGAATTAAAAGAAGAAAAAGGAACAGTTAGTACAAGAGAAGCTATTTGTGCATGGGATTGGAAAATGAGATGTATTGAAGGAGAAGATAGATTTGGTACAGATGGAAGTTCATTTCCAATTGATCCAGTTACTATTCATGGAGATATTAAATTAGAATTTACAACGTCTAAAGGAGGAATATTTAATATTTGGTTTAATACATGGTTTATTCATGATAATAAACTTGAATTTTCTAAAATGGAATTAGATAAAGGATTTAAAGATGATAAACAATTAGCACCTAATTTTAAAGTAGTATTATATTTTGAAGATGTTACTACTGCACCAGCAGGAGAACAAGAAATGCCAGTTTGTCAAGTTGGAATTAGAACAGATATTCCAGAAGATGTTACAGATCCTAGTCAAGTTCCACCAAAACCTGTTAGTGTTGCATGTGATCCTAATGTAAATGCAGCGGAATGTTTATTAATAGAAACAGAATCAGTAGAAAATGCAAAAAGAGTTAAAGCACCAACATGGTATCCAATTTATCATACATCATTAAATTTTAAGAATTTTGAAAGAATAGTAAATCATAAAATTCAATTTCCAGTTCAAAGAGAATTTTTTAATATAAATCCAGAATTAGATGTAGTTAAAGAAACAAGTAGAGAACCATTAGAAGTAGCAAGATCAGTATTATATTCTATTATTCAATTATATTTAAGAAGTGGATTTTATGGAAGAGTATTAGATTATCATATTGAATTAATAATGTTAGATAATTTAGAAGGAGTAAAATTATTTGAACAACAAGCATCTGAATTAGCAGTAATTAATTTAGATAAATTAAAAACAGGAGAACATGAACCATTTTGGATTAATATATATCATATTATGTTATTACATGGATTATTATATTGGAGACATAGACCAAATATTGAATTTAAAGATATGATTAGTAATTTTAAGAAATTTGCATATAAAATAGGAGGAATATGTTATACATTACATGAAGTTCTTATGGGATGTTTAAGACAACCATGGCCAAAAGATTCATCAATAGATAAAGTTGTTATTTTTGATGATAGTAATCCAAAATCAAAATATGTAATGAAAGAAGCAGATAAAAATCTTGGATGTTTACTTTCATTTGGTACAACAACATCACCAGGAATATGGTTATATTCAGTTGAAGATTTTGCACAACAAAAAGAAATTGCTATTAATACATATTTAAATAGACAAGCAGCAGCATTAGCAACTAAAAAAGAATTTTATTTAATGGGAAATATGAAAATGTTTGCAAAAGATTATGGAGGAGAAAGTAATATGAAAAGAGAATTATTAGCAAGACATGGAGTTGGAGAACATGAAATTAAGAAATGGAGTTTAAAATATCAACCTGAAGATAGAGAAAATAGAATTATATTAGATCATTTAATTGCACAAAATATAGTAGTAACACATCATCCAATTAATTTCCTTGGGCAATGTCATTTATTTAAATATGAAAAACCAAGTGTTAAAGACCCAAAAGCTTAAAAAAAAAAAGAGAAAAAGAAAAATAAGAAAATATGAATTTAATTAATGAAAGGTTTTATACATTTATATAATACTTTCTTTTAATAAAGTTTGTTTTTAATAGAAAAGAAGAAAAATAAAAATGTAATTCATTTTGATTTATTGATCTTTGTTTAATAAAACACTGATTAATAATAACCCAATAACTGTCCATTTAAGAAGTGGATAATCAGTTAATGCAATTGTAATCATTCCTACATATGGAACATGAGCATAAGATTTTCCAATAATTTGATGTGGTTTTAACCATAAAGGACCTTCATATAATCCTCTATCATCAACTGGATTATTATCTCCTTTAGTCAAAAAACGAACATCACCTTTAGTATCTTTATGAATTTCTATTACTCTATGAATGATTGGAATTCCTTTAGATGGTAAATTATAAACAATAATATCACCTATTTGAATATTATCAACTCCACCTCTATTTGTTAAAAACATTAAATCACCTCGTTTAAATCCTGGTTCCATAGAACCACTTAATATAACAACAATTGGTGCTTCTGTAACAAATAAAACACAAAGTGTTTTCCACATTATTACAGCTGATGCAACAATTAATCCAAATTGAGCAATATTTTGAATAATTAATCTAGGGCTCATAGACCTAAGAGATTGAATAGGAGCAAACATTTTAATTAGGTACAACTGAATATTAAGTTTTATCTATGAATATATTAAAAAAAAAAAGAATTATAATTTCTTTTTATTATTCAAAATAAAATTTCTCTCTTTTATTATATTTTATTGATTTTTTATTAATTAATTATCTTATTATATATTAAGAAAAGATAAAAAAATATTCTTTTAAAGAATTAAAAAAGAAATAAAATCAAAATTACCAACTTAAACTTTCATTTATTCAGCTTTTTTCATTTCTGGTTTCTTTCCTGCATTGAAATCCCTCTTAAGCTTTCTTTCTCCTTGGATTTGTTTAGCTTCTTCACGAACAGCTGTGTGAACAGTTTGTTTAAGAGTTGATGGAACAGCATCTTCTGGAAGAGCAAGTTTTTGTCTAAGATAAGCAATTCCTTCATCATTAAGTGTCCAATAAAGACATCTCCAGTTGCAAGTTTCTTTAACACACTTTTTAGTGGCAAGACCTTTCATTAACATAAAGACTTGAAGGTTTGGAATACCAAATACTGGATGGAGACAAACAAAATCTTTATGGCAAACAATACATCCATCGTTGAAAAGTTGTTTATAAATGGCGATGATATCCTTGGTAGCAATTCTCATCTTAACTGACTCTTCCCAACAGTTCTTTTTTTCAGTTTTCTTTTTTAATTCCTAGGGTTCTTTACTATTTTTTATTTCTATTTTACTATTTTTTCTACTTTTTTTACTATTCTTTTTTTCTTTTGTTTTTCTTTTTTATTTTTTTTTTCTTCTCGTTATATATAACAACAATTTTAAAAAAAAACCTAATTTTATGTTTTATTGATAATGTTTTTAATTTTTTGTTAATAGTTAATGTATACTTTCTCGTGAATCACTTCCACTTTCTCCACCTTTTATTTGTTGTGGAGGAATATACTTTACTGAAACAGAACTCGACCGTCTTGGAGTTGGTGAATTATTTAATACTGATGATTTAGGTGTTTTATTTTCTTTATGTTTAATTTGTTTTTTAGGATCTCTTGAACAAATTTTATCAACCCAATTATTAAAGTTAACACAATTATTATGAAGAATTGTATTACAATCTAAAATATAAATATTTATTTATTAATGATTAATTAAAGAGTATTAAAAAAAAAAACAAACATTCACATAATAATCCTTGTTTTAAATGTACTTTTCCTTTACATTTACTACAAATACCTTCTTCTTTATTATTAACAAGATATGAATGTCTATAATATCCTGTAACTAATGATTTAATTTCACTACCAGATCCAAAGAATAATAAATAATTTGAAAGATGTTTTTCAGGATTTTCAATATTAAGAATACATCCACCAACTAATTCACTACTACCAATTGTAGCGACATTATCTAATTTTAAATCAGTATTATTAATAACTTTAACAGATCCATTTCCACAACATACCCAAACATCATTAATAAATGGAGTAAGTGTATTAGGTTTATTTACTTCAAATGTAATTGGTTGTTTTCCTTTTTGAATAACAGTAATACAATCTTTTGTATTTGAAGCAATATAAAGAGAATTATGTAATGCTAAAATATTTGATACAGGTATTTTTCCAATTTCTTTTATCATTGTAAATTTACTTTTTGGAGATGGTGGAAATTCTGTTTTAAAAACACCACCAATAGTACCAACATGTAACATTTTTTTTAAAACACATGCACTTGTAATAAATGATGGAATTTTTAATTTATACCATTTAAATTTCATTTTTTTACCAAATTCAATAATAGCAAAATCTCCTTGTTCTGAAAGAATCCAAACAATATCATCTTTTTCTGATCCAATTTCAACAATTCTTGAAGATAATGAAAGATCACATTTAACTTCATTTTTTATATCTTTATCATAAACATTTATTGTTCCATTTTCACTTCCACAAATTACTTTATTTTTTATTGAATAAACTGCAGATATTCTCCATTGTAATGTAATATTTGTTATTTCCATACAATCCATACTATTAAATGTAGATATCATACTTTTATTTCCTTCTACTTTTTTACATGCCCAAATAGTTCCATTAACTTCCCAAACATGTGTTATTATATTCATATCATCTTTTGGTGATACAATATCTTCTTTTTCACTTTGATTAACTTTAGCAATTAATTCATCAACATCTCTTGCTGCTTCTCCAGTACTTGACATTGTATCTTTATCTCTTGGTGGTTCAGTACTAGAACTAAATGGTGAACTTTTTGTTGATCCAATATTTATCATTAATGGTGAATAAACTCCTGAAAATTCACTTCCTCTTCTTATTTTACGTGATATAGTTGTTCTTGATGATGAAATAATACCATCATCTCCTAATTTTATTGGAGATATATCTTTTTTCTTAAATTTATCATTAAATAAATAAATTTCTCTAAGAACTATATCATAATTTTTTAAATTTTCTGGTAATTTTTCTTGAAAAGAAGAATGACTTTGAGTAGAAAGATAAAGTTGTTCTATTGCTACTTTTGTTGTATATCCATATTGAATAAATGTTGGATTTAATATTGAAATACATTTATTTTGAATATGTAAAAACATTAATCTATGATAAAAATGATCTTTCATTAATTCTTCAATTTCATTAATACTATTATTTAATTCATTAATATTATTTAATGATTGAATTGTAGTAAATAATGATTCACAATATGATTTTAATACTGAACTTTCATTACTTTCTGATTTAAATGATAATCCTGATAATCCACTTCCTCTCTTTTTTAATGTTTCATTTTCTTTTTTAATTTTTTTATAATTCTCATTTAATTCTTCAAATCTTTTATTTAACTCATCATAATCCTCTATTAATTTTTCACTTTTTTTAATTTGTTCTTTTGTTGAATCTTTTTCTTGTTTAAGTAATACAATATCTTGATTTAAACTTAATACTTTCTTTTCTAATAATGATTGTTGCATTCTTAAATCTTCTTTTTCTGTATCTACATTTTTTATAAGTATAGCGTCAGTAACTTTTGTTCCATCAAATAATACTCTGAATGTCATTTCTAATTCTGATGGTACAACTCCTCCATTAATTATTTGTCCTTGTAATGTATGTAATTGTTTAATAGTTTCTGCATGATTTTTTCTTTCTTCTTCAATTTGTGTAACAAGATCTTCACGTTCATTTTTCATTTTAGTCATTTCAGCAAGTATTTTTTTCATACTATTAGCAGATTGTAATACTTGTTCTTTTCGTGTTTCATTTAATTGTGTTGCTTCATTTAATTTATGTGTTAAATCTTTAATTTTTCTTTCTAATTCTTCTTTTTGTGCAATAGTTGTTCTTTTTAATTCTGAATATTCTTTAATAATATTTTCAAGCATTTCTCTTGTATCATCATCATCAGTATCATCATCATCGTCAGTTCTACTTTCTTCACTTTTTTGACTATCTACACTTTTAGAATCTGAATAACTATCACTATATGATTCATCATTACTATATTCTCCATTATATGAATCTACTTGTGATTCAGTATCACTAACTTCATTTCCTTTTGTCTTTTCTATTTTCTGGTTTTCTTTAATGCTCATTCTTTCCTTATATTTACTTTTTCAAATGAGTTCCTTCTTTTGTTTTTTTTTTTTTCAATTACCTAATTAATAATATTAATTATAATTTATTTATTATTTTTGATAAATTGTTTATATTCTTAAAAAACTTGTTTTTCTCTCTCCAAACTTTCTAAAAATCTTGTTTTTTACTACTTTATTGTTTTTATAATTCCTTTCTTTATATTATTTTTAAAATAAAAAAACAAAAATCTTATTAAAATAAATCCTTTTTATAACATTAAATTATTCTTCTTCATCCTCATCATTATATACTTCTACTTCTACTCCATTTGATTTATCTTCTTTTTCTTCATTTCCATCATAATATCTTCCATTTTCTTCTGAGGGATTCATGTAATTAACTAATTTTAAGATATCTCGAGTTAATTTACAAGATAAACAAGGTGCTATAATAGCAAATCCATGAATTAAAATTAAAACAATTAAAATAGGAATAAATGCACATGTCCAATAATAATTATGTCTACTTCCAATATTTAATCCAATTAAAAATGTTTGAAGAATATAAAAACTATATTTAATCCATGCCCAAATAATAAATTTAATATTAAATTTTTCTAATATTGATCCTGAAAAGAATGTTGTAATTTTAATATTAGATAATGTTTCTTCTAATGCTTTAATAAAAAGATAAATTGAAAAAATACAAGTAGCTGCAATATATTCAGGTTCTACTTCATTTATTTTTTTAATATATTGTGAATACCATAAACAAGATATAAAACCAAGTAAAATACTTGATTTAATACATTTAAATGTTACATTTTTAGTAATTTCATAACAAGATTGTTCATATTTATGTTTTATTTTTTTACCTTCTGAATTCATTGTTATAATATTATTTGGTTCAAAAAATTGTTTAATAGTAATTATAAAATCAAAAAATATAAAGAAGAATGCTGGAACTAAAAGATTTCCCCAATGTGTATTAATACTATCATCCATTCCAATTGAAATAAAAATAATTGTTAATAAAAAACTTACCCATTTTATAAATGAAAGAATTTTATTTAAAAATCCTTCTACAAATAAAGATGTTAAAATAGGTAATAAAATATAAATATATATTGGTATTTCAATATATGCAAAATACCATGTTTTAGGAACATCTAATCTAATTAAAAACATTATAATCCAAACATCAAATAATCCTACTATTATTATTAATAATGGAATTGAACAACATGAAATACAATTTAAACATAATGATATTTGACAAATTAATTCTTTATATTCAAAAATAGTATATCCAAATAAATCATAAACTCTTTTATTTCTATAATTTGATAAAAAATTATATGCATCAGTAATTTTTTGAAATTTTTCAGCTGCATCTTCTTCTTTAGATTTATCAGGATGATATTGTAATGCTAATTTACGATATGCTTTTTTAATATCTTCTTCATTTGATTTATTTTTTAATCCAAGAATGGCATAAAAATCTTTTGGATCATTAAAATCAGGTGTGTATTCATCCATTCTTTTTGTTTTTAAAGAAACTTTTATTTAATAAAGATATTATTTGAATATATTTTTATCATTTATTTATTATATTTTATTATACTTTTATTCTATTTTTTTTTTTTTTTTTAATTTTTTATTATATTTCTTAATTATTAATTTTTAGGTTTTTTTTTTTTTTAAATTTCATTTTATTACCTTATAAAGTATTTAACTCTATTTGAATACTAAAAGAATAATCATTTAAATTTAATTTATTTCTACAAATAATCTTCTTCTATTAAGACAATTCTTTCTCAAAAGATATTCTTTTGTTTTTTATTTTACGTTAATCATATTTTAAATTTTGAAATAAATATTATTCTTATTTTATAAGAAAAGGAGTTTTAATAAAATATATTATACTATATATTTTTCAATTTACTTTTCATTTTATGGTTTAGTTATTGATTGGATTGTTATAAACAAAAACGAAAGATCAAAATAATAATCAATCTTGTTCAGATTAAGGGAAAATAAAGATAATTCTAATTAATGAAAAAGTCAAAAATATGTTTTTCTCTTTTATTATGCTTCAAAAGGATAAAAGTCAAGAAAAATTTATTTGTTTTCAACAAAATAGAAAACTCAAAATAAAATTAAAGATGGAATAATCTAATCAATTGAAAATTCGGCATTTTAATATTCTCTCAGCATTAAAAGTCGACATTAAAGTTATTGTAAATATCGTGGTTACCAAATAAATAAAAATGAAAATATAATTAATTTAAAAAGAGTCTTAGTTACAAAGAACTTCTTTAATCACATGAACCGACCAATATTAATTAGTATTCTTTCAGATACACATGGGTTACATGAAAAAATAAAGATTAGACCATGTGATTTTTTAATAATTTGTGGAGATATAAGTAAAAGAGGAAAAAAAGGATCATTAAAAGGATTTAAAGAATGGTTAAATAATGTTCCAGCAGATAATATTATTTTAGTTTTTGGTAATCATGAAAAGAAAATTATTAAAGAATTAAAAGAATGGTTAAAAGATATACCAAAATTATATATTCTTAATGATTCAATTCAAATAATTAATAATATTCAATTTCTTGGATTTTCTTTTCCAATAAATGAAGATATTGTTGAATGGGTAAATAATACTGTTATTAAAGAATTACCATTAATTATTATTAGTCATGAACCACCATATGGAATACTTGATCTTAAACAAACAAATAGTACAAAAAATAATAAAAAATATAAACATGGTGGTTCTAATATACTTCTTAAATATATTATTTCATTACAACCACAACTTTGTTGTTTTGGTCATTGTCATTATTCTACAGGAACAAAAAGATATGGAGAAACATTATTTGTAAATGCAGCTATAGTAAATGAATTTGGACAACTTAGTAAACTTCCTAAAGAATTAATTTGTTTTAATAAATATTTCTTTGATGCAGTTTGGAGTGATTCTGTAAAGGATAGATATTTTCTTTTTGAATAATGAATGTTTTGATTAATATTTTTAATTGGGATTATAATTTTTCTTTTTTTTTTTGAAAAGAACTTAATATTAATTATTTCATATTAATTGAATTAAAATTAAAATGAATAATGAAAATATATATTATTTATTTCTTCTTATAATGTTGATAATTGGATTTATTGTATTTATTTTACTTCATTATATTACTGTTGGATATGGAATGTTTCAAAATAATAAATGGGGATTAACAATAAACAATAAAATTGGATGGTGTGTTATGGAAATAGTATCAATGATTGGTATAATTATCTTTTATATTTATTCTTCTATGAATGAAATAATTCCAATGATTTCATTAATTCTTTTTATAATTCATTATTTTAGAAGAAGTATTATTTTTCCATTAAGAATATCAAAAGGAGGAAAAATGCCTATTATCATAATGTTAATGGGAATGTTATTTAATTTATGTAATTGTTATGCACAAGCAGGATGGTTATTTTTTTATCATCCACCATATTATTATTTAAGATGGTTTAATACTCCACAATGTTATTTTGGGTTGTTATTCTTCTTTATTGGAATGGTAATTAATATTCATTCTGATGAAATAATAAGAAGTCTTCGTAAAGAAGGAGAAACAGAACATAAATTACCTCAGGGTGGATTATTTAATTATGTTACTTCAGCTCAATATTTTGGTGAATTAGTTGAATGGTTAGGTTTTTCTATATTTACATTATCTCCAGGTGCTATTTTATTCTTTTTCTGGACATTTGCTAATCTTACACCAAGAGCAAGAAGTATCCATCTAGCTTATAGAAAAAAGTTTAAAAACCAAGTTGGGAAAAGAAAGATTTTGATTCCATTTATTTATTAATCAAAAAAAAAAATCAATTATTATTTTTATATTATTTGTTTTTGAAAACAATGATTTTTAATTAAGTAATCAAGCCATATACCATGGAATAGATTGTAAGTATAATAATTCCATATCATCTTCTGAAAATATATTTTTATCATATTTTAATAATTGATTAAATTTTCTTCTAAATATCATTAAAGTATTATTACTATATTTCTTAATTTGACTATTTTTTGGTTTAAAATGAAGAAGTTGATGAACAGCATTTTTAATTGAATTATTAATAAAAAGTGATCGAGATAATATAATACATGATAATGCAGTAATATAAAGATGTTCATTAATAATATTATTATTTAATTGTTTTTCAATAATCTTTTCACAAAATTCAATATTGTTTGTTTTCTTAATATAATATGTTATAAGATCAGAACAACGAGAATTAATTGTAAAATTATTAGTATTCATCATTTTATTAAAGTCAAATTGATTTATTAAATCCAAATTATTCATTGAACATAAAATATCAAGAATTAACATTTTACCATTTTTATCAGAATTAAAATAAATTTCTTGAATTTTCTCAACAAATTGGCTTTGAATTTCTTTTTTTACTATAATAATTGGTTTTAATATTTTAAAATTATCAAATGGATATAATGTAATGAGAATATAAATAATTTCAATACAAAGTTCAATAGTATTATTATTAATTATTTCAATACTATTAAATATAACACTTATATTAGCATTAAGAGTATTATTAAAAGTTGGTTTATTATTATTTTTTAATATTTGAATGAGTAAATTGGTAATTGTTTTGTTAAATCTTTTATCATTTATTAATAGATGAATGAATTTACTGATTTCTTCTTTATAACATCCACAAATTGTTGTTCCATTAAATAATGTATTAATTGTTGTTTCAATTAATGAAATATTATAAAAACTATATTTGATAATAAAGAGAATGATTGTTTTATTATAATTTCCTTTAATAATACTTTTAATACATTTTGAATAGATTTCTTTTAATAAAATATAGTCATTCTTAATGAAATTATTTATTAAATATTCTTGATTTGAGTTTATTACTTGAAGCCAATCTATACAATGTTTTAAAATATATTCTTGGCATTCTAATCTGTCTTCTATTTTAAATGATTTAATTCCTGCAATAAGTCCTTGAAGGATGTAGAATTTTCCTTTATTTTCTGTTTCATATTTGTTAGTAATTACTTCAATGATATTTTTAACTTCTTTGAATGTGAAGAAATGATATAATATTATAAATATATTTTGTTTTAGTGGAATAGGTTTTGAATAATCATAAATAAATGGTGTTTCAATACATTTTTCAAGCATTTGAAGTGTACAATTTCTTTGAAGAATCTCTTTAATTTGATTATTATGAATTTCATTATCAATTATTTTAATTTTAAATGAATCAAATACATCATTATATCCACAATATATAATATTCTTAAATTCATTATTTTCTTTGATAAATTTATTTCTATCATTATTTATTATTTTAGAATAAGGTTGTTTTTCAATTGAATTGATTATTAATGAAATAATCATTAATAATATAAATGATACAGCAGCACTTGTTTCTTTATTGAGTTGAAGACTATAATCAATGAATTGATAAATATTTTCATCAATTAATAATTCTTTTTTAGTTTTACAATATTGGTTTATTGAATTAAATAATTGATTAATATTATTGAATGTCAAGGGAATAAATCTAATTAATTGATTAAATACTTTGAATCCATTTGTAAGGTTAGAACAAATATATTGATTATTGAGTGATTTTAATAATGTTTCAATCATTGATGTTTCATCCATCATACCAAGAGTATCTTTTTTCATTAAATAAATTATTTTTTTAATGTCAATCTCTTCAATTTTTTGAATTAAATAATCAATACTATTATTAAAAATATTTCCTCCAATAAAATACTCAATTGGAATAGAATTTAATTTCTTTTGTTTTATAGTTAATAAACTTTTATTAATTATTGGTCTATTTAATTCTTTACTTAGAATTAAATATATTTCAAAAATTTTATCAAGACCTTCTATCTCTTCATTCATTTCATTTAATCTAATAGAAATAATATCTTTATTAATAATATTATACATTTCATTATCAATTAACATATTTTCTTCATCAATAATAGTATTAATTGGATTTTTCTTAATACATTTCTCAACAACATCATAATATAATTCTTGTAATTTTTCTTCTTGTTTCATTGTGCTTAATTTTATTCCTATAATTTTCATTTGTTCAATTAGTATCTTTAATTCATCTTTAAAGTATTTATTCATAAAATATAAAATTGTTTGATCAATTTTGGTTTTTTGTACTTCTTGATAAATAGATATTTTTTGTTCTTTATCAATATAAGAGTTTATTACAAAATTATATAAACAATCTAAATGAGATATAATACAATATTTTATATATCTATGAAATATCTCAATTAATTTTTGATCATTTTTATCTTTATTATAAGAATATATTAATCTATCAATGAAAATACCTTTTACTTCATCAATTACACTTTTTAATATATCATATTTTATAAATAAATTAAATAATTGATAATAAATTTCTTCATTTTTGATAATCATTTCTTTATTAATCCCAGTTTTTAATAATCTTAGTAACATGATACTTCTCTTTATATTTTCTTCTTTAATTTCTTTCTTTTCTATTAATTCTTCTAAACAAAAATGTGTAATCTTCTCAGACCATTTTATAGATTGATAACATCCAAGAAAGATATATTGAATATGTTCCATGTCAATATTTTTTTCAATACATTTGTTAATAACTATATTCAAGATTCTTTTACAATATTTATGTTTTTCACTGAATAATAATAAATAAACATTTGATAAATTTTTTCTATTCTTGTCATTTAATGGAATAATTCCTTCAAGAATATTTTCTGTAATTTTAATAATAACTTCATAAATGATTGTTTCATAAATCCCTTTTTGTTGGATTAATTTCCAAGATGCATAAATAAAATCACAAAATAATTGAATAATTTCTATATTTTGGTGTTTTATGATGAATTGTGAAACCATTTGAATAATGTTTATCATTTCTTCATGAGATATTTTGATCATTTCTGGAATCATCAATACAAAAATATTAATAACTCTAATTTGTATTGAAAATATATTTTCATCATTAAAGTCAATAACTTGACTTATTTTTAATGTTTCTTGAATACTAATCTTTGGAAATATTTGAAATATTGAATAAAAAATTGATTTTTCATTAAATAGTTTTAATCGAATAAGATTTTCTCCTAAAGAATATATTATTGTTTTAATACTATTTCCATTCACAATAAAATCTATTGTTTTTTGACAAATTTCTTCTTTATAATTTCTTAATATCTGAACAAAATACTTAATAAAATATATTCCTAATGGTCTATTAACAAAATGTTGAATTAAATGATCCATCTCTTCAAGTATTATTTTTTTATTATGAATAATTCCATAAACTAACAATAATGCAATAAGTTTCATTTCATCTAAACCATCTACTGTATATAATTCTTTAATATTTATTTCGTAATTTTCATTATTTTTTTCTTTAATTATCATGTCTTTAATCATCATATAATCTGGACTTTCAACACAATTTATTTCTTTAGGATACCATTGAATAAGAGATGTAATTCTTTTCTTTAATAAAATATCTATATTATTACTTTTAATCCTCTTAATAACTTCTTCTTTATCAATAAATTCTGTTAAAAATATTTGTATATCCACAGGCATTTTAAGTATTTTACAATTTATAAAGGAAGGATCAATTCGTAATTTCTTCCATCCATCATGTTTAATTGGATTTCTCACAAATTTAGTTTCTGTAACTAGTCGTTCCATTAACAAATGAATATAAAGACTAATATATTCTAAACTCTCTTTATCAACTCTCATAATCATTTGAGTTAATAAACTTAATATCTCTTCTATTTCTTCATCCCTTAAATTAGCATTATTTAAGAAGAATCTTATTTCATTAATATTTTTAATTGGATTTTCTTCAATACATCTTATCATAATCTCATGGCTTTTCATTGTTTAAATACTTTGAATGAATTTTAGATTCTTTTTAACTTCTCAAAAGGTACTTAATTAATTATCATTTCTTTACAACTCCCTTAACTTCCATTAATTTTGTCTAAAATATCTTCATTATATGATTTTTCATTACATTTTGTTATACAAAACAAAAAATATACTAAATAAAAACAAAAAGCACCAAAAACTTCAAGACACAGAACTATTGGTATGAGAAGAAATAACCAGGAAAAGTAATCATTGTTGGTTTACTAAGTCATTTGGAATTGTATTGTTAATTCAATAACTGATAAAAATATTATAAAACATACCATAGAAACTTAAATCAAAGATTTGGAAAAAAAGAATCTTTGTTGATCTAAAAATATAAATTAAAGGCGAGAGAAGTAGATCCAATTAATAGTTCATTGAAATAATTATGAAACATAAGCCACGTATTAATGAAATTCGATGAAAATGTAAAAATAGAAATGTAGAAGATTCAAATTCAAAACCCCAGTGAGTAGTTAAACTGAGAAGTTTATTAAATATTCATCAATCCATGAGTTGTGTTGAAGATCAAAGAGTTATTTTATGCCCATGTACGATTTGTAGAAAAGTTGGATTCTTTTCATCAGAGAAACCAAAAATTAAAACAACTAGACTTTGTGTTTTAATACTTCAATCATTGAAAGAAATAAAACCATTACAAGATTATTTTAATTTGAAAGATGATGTTTATTTATTTATTCAACAACATTGGAATATATTATCCAATATTACAATATGTTTGTTTTTAATAATAAAATAAAAGAATTAAATAAAATATATAACTTATTATTTAGTTAAGAAACAAAACTGGAAGAAATCAATTCTTGATGCTTTTAATCATTGTCCTCAAATAAAATCAGGAAAAGAGTTATTTAATAACATAGGATATTATAAATTAAAAGATGGAATTATAACATCTATTAGTGATGATACAGAAATATTAGAAACTATGAATTCAATAGTAATGGCTTCTATTCAAAATGTTATTAATCAATTATATAACAATTTATTAATTTTAAATAAATTTGGTAATGATTTAATAGCCCAACAACATTCATATATTATGATGAATTTATTAACATCTCTTTGTAATTAATATAATTTTTTTTTATTAAACTATTTTTCTTTTTTAAAAAAAATGAATAAAAAAAAAAAAATTTAAATGTTATTTTCTTACATAAATAACAAATTCGTAATTTAATTTGAAACTATATCCTCTGATACTTTGTTACTACCATTAACATATTCTCCAATCCCATTTTGTTTACTACGAGACAAATTAAGTAAATCTCTTTTAATAGAAAGATCTTTTATTTTTTCAACTGCATATTTTAATCCATCTCTACTAAAAAATTGAACATATTTCTTAATAAATTCAATCACTTTATTTTCATCTACATTACATAATTCTTTTAGAGAACATCCAACACCTAATTGAACAAATCTTTCATTTACTTTAATACATGAACTACAAACTTCCCATATTTGATCCCCTTGTTTTTCTTTACAATATTTTGTAAATGTACTACAACATGCTCTCATTCTACATGGACAATTACTTTTATTCTTCCAACTTTCTAATTTTGAAAGAAAAATATTTGGTCGTGCAACAATTAATTCATATAATAATTTAGTAGATATACATTCAATAGATGTATGGTCATGTAAATGATTATCTAAAATTAATCCAATATCTTCAATATGTCTTTCATCAATTTTATTTCCATTTTTTAAAATAATCATAATTCCAATCATCTTAAAACTTAAATGTCTTCTTAATATTTCATATGCAATATGTAATTGTATATTCAATGTAAGTGGTTGAATATGTTTTGGATAAAAACTATTAAATATAGATTTAATTTGTGATTGTTTAGGATTTGAATATCGTGAAACTTCTTTTTGAATTTCTTCAATAATAGTATTAGGTGGAATAAAACACCATTCTCCTCCAATTTTCGAGATTGAACATTCAAAATTTTGTGTTTTGTTTTGCTCTTGTAGAGGAAATGTTGACATTATTATGTTTTTCCTGTTTTCCATTGGATCTCATTTTCTTCAACTTTCCTTTTCCTTCTTTTTTTTTATTTTTTTTTACTATTTTTATACTTTATCAACTCAACTTTTTAAGTTCTCCCACGTTATGCTTTGTCATTGACTTTTTTATATTTATTTCTAAAATTTCTTACCAAAATATGTTAAATGAAATTATATTCTTTACTCTTCAAAGAATATCTTACAAATCTCTTATATTATGAATATAAGAATCTTTTAGATAAATTATTAATCTTTAAATTGTAATTATTTCTCTATTTGTCTTATGATAAAAATTATTTATTAATTTATTTCATAGTAATCTACTTTTGATAATAAGGTCATAGAAACTTATGAAAGAGTATTTACAAACTTCATTATCTATACTTTATTATAATCTAGATCCTACTTTAGAACCTTTTTTCAAATTTTTGTATTAAAAAAAAATAATAATAATAATAATGAAAATGATATATTAAATTTTATAATTCTTACTTTTATTAATAAAATTGAACTAATCAAATATCTCTTTTTTCAAATCCTGTGTCCATATCATTATGTAATAAAGAGAAACATTCTTTACAATAATATGATGGATCAGATATTCCTGCACTATCACCTGTCACTTCAATCTCTGCTTTTCTTGAATCACAAATATTACATCTTTGTTGTTCTTTTCGTTTTCTGAATATAATTCTTGGATATTTACCATTATTATCTTCTTGTAATGGAATTCTAATATCTGAAATTATAAAAATATGTTCACAATCCATTAGATGACCATATAAATATGGTTCATCTATTTCAATATCAATTTTACCTAATTCAAAATCTTCAATACAACATTTAAAATGAGGTGGAAATCTTGAATATTGAAAATTTCTATATTCTCTCCATTCAACTAAGTTATATATAACTTGTTCTTGATTATTTTGAGAAGTATAAAATGTATCATTAATAAATATAAAATCTGAATCATTAATTCCTTTTTGAATAATACAAGGAATAACAGTTCTAAGTTCACTTATAGTATTAGATGTTTTAACTTCAATCCAACAATCAAAATTTTTTTTAGATAAATCAAAAACTTTAATAGTCATAATACTATCTCCTTCTTTTAATGAAGAAGAAAATGTAAATGTAAGTGGTTCTTTTAATGAATTTTTTGTTTCTTTAATAACAATAATTTGTTTTTTAAAGAGTTGTTCTTCAAGACGTGTTAATTGTGTATTTGGTTTTCTATCTGAAGAAACTGGAATTTTGTTATTAAATATTTGATCTAATCTGAGTTTTGAGACTTGTTCACTAGGAATTTCTTCATATCTTTTTGCTGCTTCATCAATAATCTCTCGTTGAGTCTCAATTCTAACATCACTTGTATCTATTGATTTCATAATATCAAGTGATGGATATTCTTGAGAATAAAAATTAATTAATTGGGTATATCTATGAGAAAATGTGTTATATTGACGAGTGTTTATTCTTTCTGATTGTTTTGACATTTAGAAATTACAGATTAGTATCATGAAGATTTTCCATCATTTCAATATATTTTCATTTATTGTATTGTTTTCGATATGCATAACAAAAAGAAAGATATTCCAAAATAGAAGAGAATTATCAGATCCTGATTATAAAGGTAAGGCTGAAAAAGAGAGGAAAAAACCCTTTGATTGAATGAATTAGAAAAAGAAAATCTTTAATCTGAAATCCACTAATTTTATGTCTGGGGGAATGGAACTCAGTGAGAGTCTTCAAACAACGGGGGTTGGCATTACTGATGAAAAGGAAAAAGATTTTCCTCAGCCAAAACGAAAAGTACTAAACGAAAAGAAAGGCACAAAGAAAACAAATATTTCTAAGAAAACATATCCCGTAGATGAAGAAGATGAAAAGTCAGAAAGAGAAAAGCAGAGAAATCAAGAAAAAATAACAGAACAAGTTAAAAGAGAGAGTGAGAAATGTTATAAACATGAAAGTATAGAGAGTAATGAAATTAATTTGACTGAGGTTAATCTTAATGAACAAGTTGAAGAAGATTTTGGAGAAGAAAGTGAAGATAAACCAAAAAGAAAGCAGTTAAATGAAAGAAAAGTATTAAAAAGTACAAAAAACAAAAAAGTGAAGAAAGAAAAAGAGAAAACAAAAACTACAAAACAAGTTATTGAAGAAGGTATTACAGTTAAATGTTTTACAAAACAAGAAGATGAAGGAATTACAAAAGAACAAAGAAAGCAAGAAAAAGAAATTGAAGATAAAAAAGAAGAGAATGAATTAACAAGAACTCAACAAAGAGATGATATTATTGATAAAACTGAAGATAAAATTGAAGATATAAAAGAAGAAGAAATAAAAAGAAAAACATTAAATGGAAGAAAAGGAATAAAAAGAAAGAAAAAACAAATAGAAGAAATTATAAAGAAAGAAGAAGAAACAGGAGAAAATATGAATAGATTAGATATAGGAACAAAAGAAACTAAAGTTGAAGAAAGAAGTCTTGAGAAGAAAGAAGAAATTAAAACAGACAGTACTCTAGAATATAAAAAAGAAGAAATTACAGGAAGAAAAGTACTTAAAAAAAAGAAGAGTCACAAAAAAACAAAGGATATAGAAGAAGAAGAAGAAATAAATAAGACAGAAGGAGAAGAAAAGAAAAAAAGAAAGAAAAAAGTAAAGAAAGAAAAAGAATTAGAAAAATTTGAAAAAACAGGGAAGAATAAATATATTGAATATTCATCAGGAGAAGATTGTAATAGAGAAGGACTTAGAAGAGCTAAAAAGAAACCAGTTGGAATAAATTATTTTTCAGAAAAGAAAGGAATCTTAACAGATGAAGACTTAATGGAAGATGAACATTATTGTGGGATGTCATTTAGAGGAGATGAAAAGAAATCAATATTTGGAATTTTTGATGGATATGGAGGAATAGGAGCAGCAAGAGAAACAAGAAGAACATTACCAAATATTATTCAAAAATTAATAGAAAAAGGATTAGATAGTAAAGAAATAATAGAAAAAGGATTTGAAGAAGTTGATGAAGGAATGAATAAAGAAGAATTTATGGATATTGGATGTACATGTACATTAATATATATATGGGAAGAAAATAATAAAATTTATATTAGAAGTGGAAATGTTGGAGATTCAACATGTTTTGTTAAAAAATTTAAAGGAGAAAAAACAGAAATTATTACATTAACACAAGATCATAAAGTAACATCAGCATGTGAACAAAAAAGAATGAAAGAAGCAGGAATTATATTAGTTGAAGGACAAAAAAGAATTAATGGAGTTGGAGTAGCACGTACATTAGGGAATCATTTTGTAAAAAATTTAAATATTGGAATGATAGGTACACCATATATTAGTCCAATTATTGAATTAGAAAGTGGAGATGAAATTATTTTATGTAGTGATGGTATCTGGGATGTAACTACACCAGAAAAAGCATTTGAAATTATGGAAAATACAGAAATTTCAGAAGTACCAAAAGTTATTATGGAAGAATCAATGAAAATAACAGAATGTAGAGATAATGTAACTGTCATTGTCGTTAAGATCATTTAAAATTATTATCAATTCAAAATCAACTTTTAATTTCATTGTTTTCAATTAAAATTAAAATTAATTATTTAAATTATAATAAAATATAAAAAGATACATTAATTATAATTAAAAGAATAAATAAAAATATAAACAAGTTTAGATGAAAAGATAATTATTAATAAGAAATATTAAAATTAAAAAGAAAAATATGAATTGCCAACGAAGTAATAAAAATAAAAAAGGCAACTCGCCTTTAAAATTTATTTATCAAACAAAAGTTTTTGAATATTTAGAATTTAAAGATTTATTAAATTGTAGATTAGTATGTAGAGAATGGAAAATGTTCTTAAATTATTTTCCATTACAATGTTCAATTTATTCTAAATCACAAATTTTTTCAATATTTCCTCATTGTTCAAATGTTATTATTAATGAAATATCAACACCAATTATTTCTATTCTTAATACAACAAAATGGTTACAATCACTTTCTATTAGACATATGACACAAGAATCATGTAATTTATTATCTAATATAGATTTAAAAATGTTAACTTATCTTGAAATTTTCTTTTCTAATGCTACTTATTTAAATATTAACAATTTATTAAATTTAAAAAAATTAATGTTATATGATTTTCCATCACTTTTAGATAATGGATTAATTTGTAATGTAGAAACATTAAAAACAATTAAATTATCATCAATTCCTTATTTTACTTTTAAAAATATTAAAAAATTCTCTCCATATATTAAAGAAATTGAATTAATTAATATGCCTAAAGTTGGATCAAAAACTATTCAACAATTTAATCATTTTAAAAAATTAAAAAAATTAATAATTAGTGATAATGATGAATTAACTGATTCTATTTTAAAAAAAAATCTAAAGAATATACATTTAGAACATCTTACAATTTCAGATTGTTCAGGACTTGAAGGTTCTTTTATTTCTGATTTACCTCCTTTAAAAAAATTAACATTAACATTTAATAAATCATTAGATAATAAATGTTTATGTTCTTATAATTATTATGATAAAATTGAATCTTTAGATTTATTTGGAAGTTCTATTATAAAAATTCCTTCTTTTCCAAATTTAAAAAGATTATCTATTGGATATACAAATACACATATATTTAATTTAACTCATTTAACAATGTTAAAATCTCTTGATCTTACTTATTTAAAATTAACTGATACTGATTTAGATCAAATTACTATTCTTACAGGACTTATTACTTTAAATTTATCATTTAATACTTTAATTACAAATTCTGGATTAATAAAAATAATTTCTTCTTGTAAACAATTACAAGCTATTAATCTTGCACGTTGTACATTAATTACTTCTATTGGAATTAGGATGCTCAATCAATTAAAAAACTTACAATTTTGTGTTCTTCCAAATTTTATGAAAATTTATCGTGATCAATTATTTAATGAAAAAAATTTATTTATGAATAATGAATGGAGACGACATAATAATTAAAAATTTTATAAATTTTTTAATTTAAACTAAAATATAAATTAAGAAAAATAAATTAATAATATACAGTCTTATTTTAATATTTTTTTGAATTAAAACAATTCTATAATAATTATTTCATTTATTCATCACTATTAACATAATAATAAAAGATATATCCAATAATACCATGTAATACAAATAATAATCCTAAAATTAACATATATTTAATTGTTTCAATTCCTTGTTTTTTAGCTCCTTCAAGAACATCATCTACTGTTTGTTTTACTGAACTAACTTGATTAGAAATATCATTAATACTATCACTTGAAATCGGTATAAACATTTCATCTTCAATTAATTTGCTCATTATTCTTCTTTTCTAATTATTTTATTTTATTTTATTTTTTTTTTGATTATAAAGTTCACTGTCTGTCGCATCTCTCTTTTGATTGGTTATTTTCTTCTTTTCCTTAATTCATTGAAAGAATTTGGAAAAATCTTCCTTTTGAAGAAGTTCAAATTATTTATTATGTAGTTCTTTTATTATTATTTTGTATTATGTTTTTTAAAAAATCATCTTTCTTAATTTAGATTTTTTGTCTTTTTAGGAAACATCGATGTTTGTAAGTGATAAAAAGGTACAATATTCTGCTTCAGATCTTTTTCAATTTCTATTTCAGGAAAAAGTGTCTGAAAAAAACTTAAAACCATAAAAACAAAAACAAAATATAATAACAAAAAATATCTAAACAAAGTGTATTGATTAGTGATGAAGAAACAACATTTCATTCTTTTTCCTTATTAAAACACTCACCAGACTTGGTTTTATTTTATTATAAATTTCTCAACTCACTGAATAACGTTATGAAATTCATTTAATAAATTTTATGGATACTTTTATTGCATTTTCAGTCTAACTACATTTGAAAAAAGATATAAGTTTAATGAGGAAAATCATTTTATTTTTTATTTTTCATACTTAATTATGAAATTATAATTTATTTCCTCAACTAAAATCATTTTACTTAATACCAACTATCTTATCACAACACTTTCTTCAACTCATCTAACATTAATAACCAAATAATTGGAGTTTATGTTACAGTTCAATAACTTTAGTGAAAAACAAAAAAGTAAATTAGTTTTGTTTAAACAAGTGTTTTTCGTTATGAACAACACATCTTTTGAATGTCTTTAGATTCTTTGGTAATACTCATAGTACACAACATAATAATTACTTACTCACTATGTTAGTTTTATAACAAAAGTGATAACACAATTACTCAACGTGTCACTGGGTAAGTGTTTTGTCACAACAATGACAATGTTATTCATGATTTTTGTCATTGTGTAAAACTATAATCGATATATTAAAGTATATATTATTTCAAAAATAAAAGAGGGTTCACTTTTTAATTATTACACAATAGTAATTAGTTATAAAAGACCGTGTTTATAATTGAAATTGTTAAGATCTTTAAATTAATGAAAGTTATTTCGTTTAACCAACCACAATATCTACATTATACTGATGAAAAAGATAGAGCAGAGAGAATTGTTAATATTCTCTCTAACAAAGAAGTATTAACTTTGTATGATTCAAATAATAGTTTATTAACATCTAAAACAATATTTAATTACATCCAAAGAGAACAAGATGTTTATTTTGTTGCAGAAGATGATAATGATAATTGTTTTGGTTGTTATATATCAAAAGCACCATCATATATGGGAATTGGAATAACAGATCAACACCATTACATCTTTTCTTGTTCATTAGAAAGTGATGAAATAAATACATTTGATTATCGGATACTCACTACATCTGTTTACATCCCATTAGATTCAACTAACATTTTTGATTGTCCTTCTGCTTTTTCTGTTGATGACCAATTAAATTGTTCATTCTCTAAAGATATTAATGTCATTTATATGAAGGAACCTAATTCATATTGTGATGTTTCTAAGTATTTTCCATGTGTAGAAAATCAAAATTCAATTACATTGAAAAGAATACGTTTCTTTACATCAAATACTATTATTAGTGATAATTTGTAGAATATAATTGATTATTAATAACCAATGAGTTAAATCTAGTTTTATTGTTATTAAATAAACATATAATTGAGATAATAAGATAATTTTAGTTGTTAATAAGGAGATAAACAAATAAGTTTTATAGAATGATGAATATCTTGTTAATTATTGAATGATTTATAATAAGAATAATCAATGAAATTACAAAATTAAATTATCTATGAATGTAAATATGTTATTGAATACTACATTACTAGAATTTTGTATTATTGAAAAATATAATTAATTATATTCTAATCAATGATTGTTAATGAAATAATATGATTTCTTCTCTTAAAAAATATGAAAAGAATATCATTTCTATTTCTTCAAAACTATTTGTGTTATTATAATATAAGTATGTTTATTCTCATTGTTATGTTATTTAATTTCATTTTATTTGATTTATCTTTTATCTTTAGTTTGATTTAAAATCACATTTGTTCTTTTCTTTGTTATTTTCTTATTCTTCTTATTTTCAAAATACTCATTTAATATTCTCTTCGTTTATTTATATTTGTTATTCATTATTTCTCTCTTTGTTATAAACATATCCTTATTATTTATATGTTTCTGATGTTTATTATCATCATTAATTGACTCACATCTTATCTTTCTGTTGTTTTATTATTTTAGTTATAGAATTTATCATTCTCTGTATTACTATTTTCTTATGAATAACATGTTATACTCATTTATTCATATTTATTTATCATATTCATATTAAAAACATTCAATTTCATTATATAATATTCATCATTTGTTTTTTAATAAATTAATGCACAAATACTTTCTTAGTTGATTTTAACATCTCGTTCAACATAATGAGATGGAAATATTCCTATTTTCCCTTTACTTTCTCCTTCCCACCATTCTCCTTCTGTAGAAATTACTGTGATCCATTCTCCTTCTTCTAATTTCAATTCACTTTCATTTTGTGGATTATAACTATAAACAACCCTTCCATGAAATACATTTGTTGGTTTTCTGGTGATGTTGTTTTGAATAGAGTGTGTTTTGATTGAATTGGTGATGACATCACTCACTTCTAAAATACTCTTTTCTTCATCTTTCCAAAGACCTTGACTTACTCTCTCCCAAATTCCACTATTCATCAGAAGACATCCCCATCCTTCTCTAATAAATCCTTTACCAATACTCTCTGCTATCTCTGGAAATGTTTTAAGAAGCATGTTTCTATCATTCTTTAATTCGTTTCTCATTTCTAAATATTCTTCTTTACTTTCTTGATATTTTTTGGTGATGGAAATTAAATAAGAACATGCTAACTTCTTTCTCTTTTTCTTTACTAGGTGTTGTTTCATTTTATCCATTTTCCTTCTTCTTTCTTCTAACTCACAATCTCGTCTACTTAACATTCTGAATTGATTAAGAAATGAATGGAGAGGGATTTCTATATTATCTTTGATGAATGAGTTGAAGTGATTTTGTTGAGTTAGAATATCCTGTGATGCATTCAAAATAGAGTTAGTCAGTTGTGTTGCTTTGAGATTGTTTAAAGTCATTTCACATAATGAATAAGAAATCTCAACTTGAAGTAAAGCAGCTTCATGAAGTATGTTTTTGAGTTTGATAATATTTTGTAGTGTTGAGAATAGCTTCTTTTCTGATTCAATGGACTTTTCTCTAATCATTTGATATTCTTGATCAACTGTTTTTATTCTTTCAATTGTAAATAACTTAAAAATCTCATTTCCCATTCTGTTCATTCTCTTCTAATTCCAATCATTGTTTCTTTTAATTCAGTGTCTTTTCATTTTGAAGAACTAATCATCACAACAATTAATAAGTTATTATAAACAACACTATCTTGATATAAGAGAAGAAATGAAATGTTCATAAAATGAATCATTAAAAAGGATCTAATAATCAAAAAAGTGAATAATTCATAAATAATAAATTAATAGAAAGAATAATATAAAAAATAATAAAAATATTAAGTTCAATTTTTAGAAAAAAGAGAAAAAGGAATTTCACGAATTTACAGAAAAAGAACAAGTTCAAGAAATTGAAAGTTCAAAGAATACAACAAAGCAAAAAATGAAGAAATTAAAGAAGTAATTAAGACAAAATACAACAAGAAAAAGCAGAGTTTGAAAAGAAGAAGATTTATAGATCAGAGGAGTAACTAAAAAATAAGAAATGAGCATTCAAGAAAACTTAAACAACTTGATTAAACCACATGGAGGAAAACTCATTAAAACATTAAAATATGGAGCAGAAAGAGAAGAATGTATTAAAGAAGCAAAATCACTTCCAAAGATTGATATTTCATCAAGAGAATTTGGGGATCTTGTTATGATGGGAATTGGAGGATTTTCACCATTAAAAGGATTTATGAAAAAAGAAGATTGGTTCTCAGTTTGTAAAAACTTCACACTTGCAGATGGAACTTTTTGGCCAATTCCAATTACAATGTCAGTTTCAGAAGAAGAAGCAAAAAAATTAAAGAGAGGACAAAAGGTTGCATTAAAATATAATAAAGATATTAATGATATTTCAGGAACTATTGAAGTTGATCAAGTTTATGAAATGACTAAGAAAGATAAAG